AGGCCCCTGCCCCCCAGCCCAGGAGTCCAATGTCAGGAAGAGAAGTCCTCATAACTAATGCTGTGAAAACCAGGGTAGGCTGTGGCTGAGTGTATTAAAAAACTGCTGGAATCCCCGGCGTTCCTCTTAAAGGGCCCAAAATGAACTTCCTCAGACTCATGCATTTGGAGCTCCTGTGCTGGGGCAGCCGCTCAAGAGGTGCCAGGGACATGCAATGAGGAAAGGAACTGTCTGGCTTTGGCGCAAAGGCTGGAGGGGCGACTTTCTCCCACAGAGAAGTGCTGGCAGAGGGCACTGCGCCTTTGCTGAGCCCTCCTCTGACAGAGCCAGAAGGCGGGGACTGTATCTCATTCTCCATCAACCTGGCTAAGGAAACAAACAGCTTGTCCCAACCTGGTGAGTCCCTGAGACTCTGCCCGATGCCACTTGCTGGCCCCCTGAGGCCATTTTCAAGGGCTTTTCCATTCTAATGGCTGGTCTTGGCTCATGCTATGGGCTTCCCTAAATCTCTCAAAGGTTCACAAACACCAAACAAGCAGTGTCTGGCCTCAGTGTGCCCAGTACCTTTTGCTAAGTGGCCCCAGGCCCGGCACTAGCAGCAGCTGGCTTTGGATCCCGGCTTGGCCTCTCCCAGGCACCTCCAAGCCCAGCACAAGTAACAGCCATCTGCGGATCACTCTAGCTCACGCTGGGGGGCCCCAGGCAGGGCACAGGCAGCAGATGATCTTGGCTTGCAGCACCCGGCTACCTCCACGAGCAACACACTCAAACAGGCAGACTCAGCGGGCACCAGAGCCCTGCTGATGGGACTCCTGCGCCGTGGGGTCGGCCCCTGCACAGCAGCTCCTCTGCTGTTGTTGCAGCCAGTCCTCAGAGCCCATTGGCCTGGGGGTAGATACCTTTTACTGATGTGCCAACAGCAATCAAGGCTCAACCACAACACGGGGTGCACACAGCCCACATGGGGAGGGCCCATCCGGAGTGCCCAGCTCTGGATACTGGGGAGGCTGTGCCACTGGGCCTACAGGACACCTACTACACAAGACCACTCTCCCAAGACCGGCAGGTACAGCAGCTCTACCTACATACATAGAAATAAACACAGGGAGGCAGCCATAGCAAGACAAACGTGTCCCAAATGAAAGAAAGAACAAAACTCCAGGAAAAAAGCGAAACAAAATGAAGACAAGCAATCTACCAGATGCAGAGCTCAAAACACTGTGAACTCAGGGGAAGAGTACATGAACTTAGAACTTCAAAAAAGAAATAGGAAATATAAAAAAGAAGCCATCAGAAATAAAGAATACAATAACTGAAATCTACTATTGATTCCCTGTAATGTAATGCAAATGGATTTAAACGCTCCAATCAAAGACATATTGAATGGATAACAAAACAAGACACTTACATATACAGTCATTCAAGATTGAAAGACACACACACAGACGGGAAGTAAAGGCATGAAAAAAGACATTTCATGAAAATGGGAATTAAAAGAAAAAAAAGCTTGGGTAGCAGTACTTATAGCAGACACAATAAACTTTAAAACAAAGGCTATAACAAGAGACAACGAAGGACCCAGGAAATCCACTTCTGGATATTTATCTGAAGAAACCCAAAACACTAAATCAAGAAGACATATGCATCCATATATTCACTACAACATTATTTCCAATAGCCAAGATAAGGAAGTAACCTAAGTATCATCAACAGATGAGTGGATAAAAAAGTGGTACATATATGCAGTGGAATGTGACTCAGCTAAAAAATAAAAAAAGAGAATGAACTCTTACCATCTGAAACAACATGGATGAACCTAGAGGATATTGTGCTGAGTGAATAAAATAAGTCAGAGAAAGACAAATGCCATACGATTTCACTTATATGCAGAATCTAAAGAACAAAATACAAGAACAAACAAAACAGAAACAGACTCACAGATACAGAGAAGAGACTGATAGTTGCCAGACAGGAGGGCGGGAGTCTAAATGAAAAAGGGGAAGGGATTAAGCAGTATAAATTAGTAGTTACAGAATAGTCACAGGGATGTAAAGTGCAGCAAAGGAAATATAGTCAATAACATGTAATAACTATGCGTGGTATCAGATGGGTACTAGAGTTATTGGGGTGATCACTTCATAAGTTACATAAATGTCTAATCACTGGGTTGTATTAACATATTATGGTACTAATATATTATTGTACATCAACTGTCTTCAATTGAAAAATAATTTTTTTTTTTTTTTTAATCTACTACACAGATCAGCAGCCAGGGCCTAATTTAAGCAGAGAAGTGAGACTACCAGAGTTAGTCATTTCAACAGAATTTGCAGAAATCAACAGCATTTGCCAACCTTTGGATGGGGAATACAGGAAGAAAAGAATACTATGAACAATGATATACCGACAAATTGAACAACCTAGAAGATATTGATAAATTTCTAGAAACCTACAACTTTTCCCAAACTGAACTGGGAAGAGACAGAGAATCTGAACAGCTTGATTACCAGCCACCAAATTGAAGCAGAAAGGTCAAGATCAGATGGCTTCATAGGTGAATTCTACCAAACATTTAAGAATAATTAATACCTATTCATTTCAAACTATTACAAAAAATTGAAGAGGCAGAAATGCCTCCAAATTCCTTTTGATGTCAGTGCTGCCCTCACACCAAAACTAGACAAAGACACTATAAATATAAAAAAGAAAATTATAGCTCAATATCCCTGATGAACATAGATGCTAAAATTCTCAACAAAATATTAGCATTTCCATACCTATAACAAACAATTAGAAATTAAGAGAACAACCCTATTTACAAATGCATCAAAAAGAATAAAATTCCTAGGAATAAATTTAATGAAAGAGGTGAAAGATCTGTATTCTGAAAACTATAAGGCCCTGAAGAAATTGATGAAGACACAAATAAATAGAAGGATATACTATGCTCATGGGTTAGATGAATTAATATTGTTAAAATGCCCATACTACATAAAGCAATCTATATATTCAGTGAAATCCCTATCAAACTACCAATTATATTATTCTCAGAAGTTGAACAAATAATCCTACATTTATATGGAATCACAAAAGACCCAGAAGAGTTAAATTCTGAGAGTGAAGCAATCTTGAAAATGAAGAACAAAGTTGGAGGTAACATACTGCTTGATTTCAGAATATTCAACAAAGCTATGATAATAAAAACAGTATGGTACTAACACAAAAAACAGATAGTTCAACAGAACAGAGCGCCTAGAAATAAACCCTTGCTTATATGGTCAATTAGTCCAGAAGAAAGGAAGCAAAAAAAATATAATGGAGAAATGACAGTCTCTTCAATAAGTGGTGTTTGGAAAACTGGGACAGATTTATGCAAATAAAACAAAAAAAGAAGAAGAGAAATGATCACTTTCTCACATCATGTACAAAAATAAACTCAAATGGATTACAGACTTAAATTTAAAACTGAAACCATGAAAGTCCCAGAAGAAAACATAGGCAGTAAACATTTTGACATTAGTCTTAGCAATATTTTTTGACTATGTCTCCTCAGGCAAGGGAAACAAAAACAAACAAATGGGATTATATCAAACTGCAAAGCTTCTGCACAGTGAAGAAAGCCATCAGCCAAATGAAAAAACTACCTACTGAATGGGAGAAGATATTTGTAAATAGTATATCTGAGAAGAGTAATATACAAAATATATAGCGAACTCATACAACTAATAACAAAAAAACAATCTGATTAAAAAATGGGTAGAGGACCCAAATAGACATTTCTCCCAAGAAGACATACAGATGGCCAACAGACATATAAAAAGATGCTTGATATCACTGATCATTAGGGAAATACAAATTTAAACCACAATGAGATATTGCCTCACATCTGACAGAGTGGTTATTATTAAAAAGTCAGCTAACAACAAGTGTTGGCAAGGATGTGGAGAAAAGGGAATTCTTACAACTGTTGGTGGGATTGTAAATTGGTGCAGCCAATATGGAAAACAGTATGGAGGTTCCCCTCAAAAAATTAAAGTACCGTTCAAGCAATTTTACTTCTGGGTACTTAGCTGAATAAAACAAAAACACTCATTTAAAAAGATAAATGCACCCCATGTTCATTTCAGGGTTATTTACAATAGTCAAGATAATGGAAATAACCTAGGTCCATTGGTAGACAAACAGATAAAGAAAATATGATATAAATATTACTCAGCCATAAAAAAGAATTGAAATCTTACCATTTGCGACAGCATGGATGGACCTAGAGGGTATTATGCTCAGCAAAATAAGTCAGAGAAAGAAAAATACCATATGATTTCACTCATATGTAGAATCTAACAAAACAAATGAGCAAACAAAACATAACATAAACAATTACATAAAGAAAAACTGGTGGCTGCCAGAAGGGAAGGTGGTGGGATGGATGGGCGAAAAGGGGAAGGGTAATAAGATCCACAAACATCCTGTAAATAAGCCACAGGGATGCAGCGCACAGCACAGGAAATATAACCAATAATATGGTAATAACTTTGCATGGTAACAGTTATTAGACTTACCATGGTGATCACACTGCAAGGTATGTATATGTCTAATCATTATGTTGTACACCTGAAACTAACATAGTCATGTATGCCAACTACACTTCAATGAAAAAAATTTTAAAAGCCCACAGTTAGTGTCAGCAATGTTACGAGTCGACAGTTTCAGTGGTCAAGTCCGGACTGAGAAACACAGCCTTCCCAGTACCAGGCGACTGTGAACTGTGCACCTGTCAGCTTTGGGCTGTACTTAGGATAAAGCAAAACCCGGGACGTGGCATCTCAGGTTGAAGCAAGGTCTCTCAGCGGCGGTCACGGTTTGTGTACCAGGACCTGAACTGAGAGTGATGTTTATAGAGAACTTCAAGAATTAATTTTTTAAAAAGTTCTGAAATCTTTAACAACATGACTGAGGATTTTGTAACGCATGCTAGAGAGAAGAAGAGGAGGCATTCTTACCCAAGTCCTCGATGGCAGTACTTCCTTCGGAAGTGAAATGCGTTCTGCACGACTTTTTCCACCAGCTTGAAGGGCTGCTCTATTTTGGGCTGTGTCAGGGGAGTGAAGTGCACCACGCCCACGTCCACCTTCATTGTAAGCAAACATACATCATTTTGTTGCATGGCATAAGATTATAAATGGTCTGTCTTTGTAAAACACAGGAGGGAGGGTTGTCAAGAGCATGGTTTTCAAAACTAAGCCTTTCCATAGACTTCTGTTTCATCTTCTTCGGGCATGTGAGATGCCACGTTTGCATTTGCGCTGACTCAGAAATCACAGCTGGTTGCGGGAGTTCTATAATGACTTCCACTAGACCTGTGCTTGATGATCACTTAACTTTAAAATGCAGTTTTACAATGGCCTTTAAAATCAATCCAAATAATCATTACAGTCAGCAGGCAGATAACAGATAGCATCAGAATGTTTTATTTGGCTTTTGAATGAGTAAAAAATAAGCTGCGGCAGCAGTTCTGACTGTAAGACTGGGCTTCAAAACGCAGAGAGAAGGCAGATGGGCCCCAAAGGACCACTTAGTGTGCAGCTCCCCCGAAAGTGAGTCAGTCAGGACACCACTTATTTTGGGTACAGACACCGATTAATCAGCTGGATGGAATTCATGAGCATCTTCTGCACAGCCACATAACTTTCTGGTAGCAACTTTAAATGCCCCAGGAGGCACAGACAGGATCCAAAGAAAAAAAGGAAACTACCAAAAATGTCCGTGCTTTGGTGTTAAGCTGCTACCAGCTATTGAGAGTCTTTAATTATCAGAAAATAAAACTTTTCAGGCATATCTGGTTAAGAGATTTATAGCCTGACTTATTCTAAAAATGGAGTCATGGTGATTCACAAGGATATATTCAAAATAACAAAGGAAAAGTATTGAAGGTACAAAGGGAGAAATGTGAATTACTCCCAAATATGTCTGACAGAATCCACAATCTAGGAAATGGGGTCTGTTCAGAATTCACAGATGCATTCTGAGGAATTGCTGAACTCGCTACTGAGAGCAGCACACAGACTCTACAAAGGCCAAGAAAGTACAGTAATTTATGAAGTGTGGGTGGTACCACTGTCTTTTGAAAAGGAATTCTATTTCTAAAATACTATAGGGGTTATCAAGTTCTCTTGGGAGGACTTGCTTCTAAAGAGTCTTATGGCTACAAAACTTCTTAAAACTAGCCTGTGTTCTGCGAGGATGGGGGGCTACGCTTTTGTTTCTAGGGTGGAGGACCAATGCATGACACGAGACCCTTAGGACAAGAAAATAAAAAGAAAGTGGCTGAAGATGTGCCTCGCCTCAGGCAGCCTGGGTGGGCGTTTGGGAAGCCAGCGCTGCCTGTCCTCGGCGTCTGAGCTGCCTCGCTGGCGAGCTGCCCCACCAGGCCTCCCCTGCCTTGAACAGTCACCCATCCAGTCCCCGGATGTTTTCGGGGCGCGAGAGCTGTGCCCATCTGACAGAACTGACTAGAAGCGGAGAGTCTGCCGGTCGGACGGTGTGGCTGGCAGGAGGGAGGGCGCTGAGCAGCAGAGTGAAAGCTGCCAGGGAGGGTTCTTTCCATACTGAGGATGTTCCCCTAAATGTCCGCCAGCCCACTAGCAGTTACTCCACTTCAGAGTGGCTGTCGGAAGGCAATGTTAAATGTTCTTATTAAATTTTAATAGTTGTCAAATTGTGTTCTCTATGCTTATTCCGTTTCACCAAGTTCAGTAACAGGCACGTCCTGCAGGAAACCAAGTGCTTTGGTTACAAGGCCAGGACTTTCTTTAGATCTTCCAAAAACCCCCACAGAACAGCGTCCAGGGGTCCCAGAGAGGTCGGTGATCAAGGCAGAAGAGGACACAGCATTGCTGAAGTGACCTCAGGGTCGAGGTGAACAGGAGCCCTAGCATAGGCTGGGAAGAAAAGATTGCTTCCTCTCCGAGCATGTCTGTGGAAGGAGAAAGTAGAGGGAACCTACGGCCGGGGAGAGTGGCAGCGGCAGCCCAACCCCGCTGTGACGGCTATGAACGTCCGATCCTGCTCCTAAACTCTGAAATGCCCACTTCCCCTGTCCTCCTGCCGATCTTGGGAAGAGAAGTCAACCCAACTGCTGGGGGAGGCTCCAGGCCACCCTTACACTGCGCCCCGCCCCTTCACTCTGGAACTCTCCACGCCGCTCGGGCATTCCTGTCCCCACCCCTTGGCCTGCCATCCTCCACGGCTCCGCTCCTTCGGCCCCTTCACTCCACTGCTCCCTGACTACCTGCGTCGGCTCCGAAAGGAATCCTTTCGGTCACCAGGCCTCATCCAATGGCCTCCCGGTCTCCAGAGGAAAGAAGCTTTTGGCAACATACGAGATAAATTCAAGCCCTACCTAACCCTAAATGCATGAAGCATCAAAACTCCAACGTTCAGATACAATGCAGACCAAGCGCACAAACACAGGAGAGACGCGCCTCCTGGCACTGCCGCAGCTGCCGCTTCCAGCTTCCCTGGGTTTGCAAACGTTGCCTCATCTTTATTTGCCTGATTTCATTTCTTTGAGATACAGTTGGTGTTTGCAAATACAGGAGATGCCTAAACGAGATTTTACAACCCTGCCCTGATACAGCAGCACTCTGTGTAAACTGTGGCAGCAGACTCCTACTAAAGTTTGAAGTTTGGTGCCCAGCTGGCTAACAGTATAATGTAACTAAAATCTTCACTCACAATCAAACACAGTTAACCTTCATGGGGGACCCAGTGAAGCTCCCTGTGAAGGCAGACGCTTCCGGGTCACGCGTCCTGCCTTGGGGGGGAGACCTCCCCTCACACCGCTACCCACTTTCTCTCCCCTCGCCCCTCCCCCCAGCACTTCTCAGAATTGCTCTGAATAATGAAGCCCATTTTCTCTGAAGCCACAGGAAAGCCACTTGGTAACTATGGTAACAGATACAAAAATGCTTTTTACTTATAATTGAATGCTTATTTAAAATTACAACCATTTTTTTTTCCTTCCTTGATCTTAAGTCTATTAAAGGGTTTGATTACAAAGAAGTCAGTACACAGGCAATAGATGCACTTAAAAAAACCCGTTTGATGTTGCCAGCCCGTTCCCAAACTCAGTGTGTCAGTACACCAAAATGACTTACTAAAATTTCAAATTAAGGTATTTATAATGAATTTAAATGTTTGTCTTGCCAATCCACTATCATGTCAATGCTTTTGCAAGCTGAGATTATGTTTCTCAACACAGCAGCCTTGGCTACCAGAGGCCGGAGGCAGATGTTCCACACTCTAGGCCAGGGTGTCCAGGGTGGTGATGAGCTCAGAGCAGGCTGTGGATTTGTTAAGAGACCCCGGGGTAGGAAGCTACTAAACCTCAAAGCTTAGACAGTGTCAACTCAGATCTCGAATCAACACGACACGGGAAATACTGAAGAATGTATGGCCTGGTTGCTGACTTCGAGATGATCATAATACGCCAAAAAACTAAATAACTACCCCACGAAACAAAACTGGCCACTGGCTAGGAAAGGACCTTCGACACCTCCCACGGTGGTCAAGCCATTAAAGGACAAGCTGGTGGAGAGGAAAAACGATGAGAAAGTCAGTTACAATTTAATCAGCAGAGATACAATCATAACTTGGAGATGATAGAAGGAATGATAAGGAAAAGAGAATGACTGCAGAGAATAATCAATAAGCCTCCAAGGACAATACAAGGACGATTCAAAGTCCAAGTGGTATTGTGTGGAATAAAAAGGGTCCCCTGGTCCTGAGGCTGTGGGCACCACCTGACAAAACAAGGGATCAGGGTTTGGGAGAGTCACAGTTCGGTGTCAGGAGAACGACAGAGGAAGGTGAGCGCGCTGGGGACTGCTTGGCTCCCCCTCTATGACTTCACCTTCAGGAGCCTGCTCTGAGCCAAGGACGCTCTCCGAGCACCACGGCCCGCGGCTACAGCTTCCCCAGACAAGGGGAACAAGTCACCGTGCCTGTGATATTATCATTATGCATACTGTAGGAAAACAAAATATTTACAGATATAGATGTACATCAAATGTCCTATATTTAATTTATTCTACCTGTAATTCTTGTGCCACCCCCAATTTAAGGACAGAATTTCGGCTGTACAACCTTCAAACTCAAACACTTTGAAAGCACAGAAGGTATCCCAAACCAAGGTATTCAGCAAGACTGACACAGCTGCATATCTTTCTTTGAAGTTCACAGTTTGTGTTTGTTATTGTAACAATACAAACTTCTACAGAAGTTCCACCCCTCCTTTTTGCTCCTCCTATAGGATTTCGAATGGTTTTCTCCTCCTCAGAGGGTAAGCCCGTGGGAGAATGACAGAGCTGAGAGCATGATGAGAAATACGCCTAAGAGATGCCTGGCATGAGGAGGGGAGGTGGACCGCAGCAGCTTTTGACTGTATAAATTCTGCATGCAAATGTATGCATACATGCAAATTATGTCAACTAGTAATAACAATAACAACAAAATGAGTCAGGGCTCCTTGGTGCCAGGGAAGGAGTGAACACTTAATTCTAAACAAAATGCAAGAGGGACAAGAACAAACATTGGGTTAGGGTTTCCTGCTCTATTTAACCTGGAGCTTCCAGGCGATCAGGGAAACACACCTTTCTAAAACCTCGACCCGCCCCCCAAGCCACGGCTCCAGCGTGCGGAGGCGCCCTGCTCCCGCAGCAGCTGCGGGCGAGGGAGAGCCGCCCACCGGCTCGGCTCGGGGCTGCCCTGCCGGGGAGTGCCGGCGCCCAGGGGACCAGCAGGGCCTTGCCGCCGGTCTCACCGGACCCGAGGAGCTGCGACAGCTCGGCACTGACCGCTTCCTAGGAACGATCCATCTGAGCAAGCTCACAAGGCACTCCAGTAGCTGCTTGTTGCTATTAAAAAATAGTACTACTATTATTAAAAGACTGATAAACATGAATGGAAATACATTAACTCAAAACGAGTCAATATATTAATTTAAAACTGCCGAAGAGACTAGATGCTATCCTCATGTGGCGTAGCCAGTGCTATCCTCATGTGGCGTAGCCAGTACACCCCTGCCCTGCGGAAGCCAACGTGAACACGGTATCGAAATAGAGCATACAC